TTTTTTTTTTTTAAACCTTTGCTAGGTTCGTCGCGAACCCAGGTGTGACTTGGGTTCATTGCACTTGAGTTCATCTTGGGTTCGCAACAAACCCAAAGCACGCCTGGGTGGGTTCGTCTTGAGTTCTTCGTGAACGCAGGATAAACCCAGCTCGCGCGATTGGGTTGGCAACGAACCCAGCTCGCGCGATTGGGTTGGCAACGAACCCAACTCGCGCCTGGGTTCGTAAGTGAGCTAGGTTATCAGTCTCTGCCCAAAAAAAAAAAAAAAAAAGGCATGTTCTTCTTAAACAAACAACTTCGGAAACATCCAGCAACAGAATCAGAAATGAACCCCAGAGCAGCAAAAAATTCAAGAAATTAAAACATCATGAGACACACACATGAAAGCAAACTCAAATATGTAAATTTTATTTATGGGTTCATAAACTTAGTACAATGAAAATCTCATTCAAATAGCCAAATCAAGTAGAATATTCCAAGATCTACGAGAAACAAGATCTTAAACACATGGGGCTAATTTCAAGGGGCCGATTTCTTTTGGGTAGCCAGTGCATGCCTGGGTGGGTTCATCTTGGGTTCCCCCGAACCCAGGCTTCTGGGTTTGCGAGGAACCCCAGATCCTAGGTTCCTCATGAACCCAAGATTTGATTCAGAAGGCAAAGCTAAAAAAAAGAAAAAGAAAAAGGAAGGTCAGAGGAAGGAGAGGATGAGACAAAAGAGGGAAAAAGATGAGGGTAAATTAGTAATTAAAGTCTCACAAAATAACCTTTAAAATATTTATAATGGTAATTATGTAATTAAATGATTGTTTAGGATATATTAGACAAAAAATTTTGTCATGTCATCAATTTTTACAGATGGATTTTCCACGTAATTTAAATAAAGAAAAAAAAATAAGTTTTTCCGTTAATTAACCTGCCACATCAGTCAAAATTTAATGATAAACTAAAAAAGGACCAGATTTCAAACAGTAAAGACCAAAAAGAGTATTTTTTTCGATACAAAAACTAAAAAGGAGCTTTTTCCTATAGTAGATGAACCAAAAAGAGTATTTAACCTAACTTTTATTACTTCTTTTTTTTTTTTTAACTTGAATGGGTTGAACAAATTAGTGTGTATTAACCCGTTTGTTGTAATGTAGTTATTATAAAAATTTGTTAGTACTAATAAATATTGTTAATATTAAAATGTTTTTTAAATTCAAATAACATACAATTCAGACAGGAAAAAAGTCTAAAATGCCCTTTATAACTTTATTCATTAAAGAGTTTTTGATATTTTCATAATATGCGCCTGCAGACCCAAAAAGAACCATTCTATTCCTCTTGTTGTCAACGAATTATTTTAAGCAATGCATTTGACGTTATAGAGTGCAATTGTCATTTAATTTTTAAAAAGGGAAAAGATAGTTTAGTATTCTGTGTTTGCCATTCTTTCTTTATTTTTCTTTTAACAAAATGTTAAGGGTGAAATTCAAACTTCAAACTCACTAAAAAAAATTGATTGCACTTTTAAAGTGGTTCGAAATCCACTTGGTCCGAAACGTTAGGTGAACCATTTTTCCTTTATTATTAAAAAGATGTTTACAAATATCAAGTTTATAATAGCCACTCGTTCTCTATTAAAAAAATGGTTACTCCTTTAGCATCATAAATTTTTTGGTCGACTTATTAAAAAAAATTAAAAAATATATATAATTAATTAAATATTTTTAATAAATTAAGCATATAAAAAATTTATTAATAATATTTTGATCATTTTAAAATATTTTTATATTTTTTAATATAAATTAACTTGAAAAATATTATTTTTTTAGTATTTAAATTTTCACGGAATATTCTTTACGTGATCAAAAATTTTACGCAACGTATTCTCACTGGCCAAAGTCTAGTAACCAAATTGGCACTAAATTAAAGGGGCCGTTGACTGGATAGTAAGGAAGTTTTGGTTTTTTTTTTTTGTTAATTTTTTTTTAACAATATTATATAAGATCTAATTCAAATCATTATCTGAAAAAAAGGATGCATTTAACGTGGTTTAATGTCACTTAAACCGAAGGCATGTCACTTAAGCCGAAGGCCCAAGTGGTTTTTCTTGTTAATTGAAGTACGATTTCTTGGAGAAACTAACTATAGGTAACCCGAACTTGACTATTGAGAGGTATGATAAACGCAAGGTGATGTAACCATTTTGAATCGAACTTTAATGAAATTAGACTTCCCTTGGATTTTAGTAAAAAGAACAATTAACAGTCATAAATTTGCGGTGAATAACATAAATAATTGAATATAATATTTTTATTATAAAAGTAAATTAGATAATTAATTAATTATTAATTTAAGTAAAAAGAATTTAATTTTTAAATCTCAAATTTAATTATTATAAAAGTAAATTAGATAATTAATTAATTATTAATCTAAGTAAAAAAAGTTTAATTTTTAAATCTCAAATTTAAATATTATAAATGAAAAGATAAGTGTTGAAAGAGTTTCTCTTATTATAGGTTCAACTTAACTTGACACAATTGAAATTTAAATTAGTTGAAATTTAATGTAACTTTTATATATCGAAAGGTCTATTACAAAAAAATGAAAATAAAAAATTTTAAATTCAAATCATATGTATGCAAGTATAGTTAGTTAACGAGATAAAAAATGATTACTTTTTATTATATAATTTAAGATTAAAAAATAATTAAAAACTTGCAATTGTTAGTTAATAATTAATAAAATAATTAATAATTAATTAATATTTAATTATTAATTTAAAATTAAATTAAAAACTAATGTCATTAAATATTTAAAATAATTATTTTAAAAAATAATTATTAACAAATAAAATCAACCCAACCAAACAAACCTTGATTATATATTTGAAATATTTTGTGTGTTTCACCCAACTCCAAATCACAGTTTCAAATTCAAATCTTATAAATAAAAAGATAAATGT